TAAATCAGCAGCCTGGCTTTGAAATGTAGTGAGCACCCACAGCTCTTATTGATGTCCGTGAGTCCAGCCCGCAGGAGCACGATTTAGAAGTCCAGGGTGGTCTACGTGGAGAAATTGACCAGCGTCGCTATTGCAGAATAAGCTGTTTTGTGTGTGGACACTGTTCTGCAATGAAAGGGATTTTATTCCAGGACATGTGTGCACACGGGAGAGTTATGCTGGAGTAGCTAAATTATACTCGACTAGCTGTGCTCGTCTCATTTCCCCTAACTTTCAGCTCCTGCCTCGGAAAACCTTAGCTGAGATTTTCCAAAATAAGTAGTCATTTTGGATGGCTACAAATTTTTTTGGCGGGGATGCCCAATTGGAGACGCCTTAAATGCTCAGAAAGCACCAAGCATCCATGCTCTGAAAATCCTGCTCCTTTAAAGCATCTTAAATTGGGCTCCGGACACCCCTGGCGTTTGGAAATCTTGGCCCTTCTGCAGTAATTTTTGTCTGAGCAGCGTAAACCTTTCTTTCTAGCGCTGCACTGGGCCCCGTTTGGCAGGTGACGTTCTTCGTGGCTGGAAGGGCTGGAAACTTTCTGTGGCTGCTGCTGAAGTTTGAATTCTGTAGAAATCATTGGCATGGGCCTCCCTGCTGATCGGGGAAGAAGCTACTTCCTTGCTACTGAGGAGTGGCTTGTTTTCAAGCCCTGAGTCAGTATTGTTCTCAATGTATAGACGAAGGAAGGGAGGCACGCAGTTGCCTGCCTGGCTTAAGGGCACACAGAGGCCAGTGACACCATCCCTGCCCATCCTGGCTAATAGCCATTGATGGACCTATCCTCCATGAATTTATCTAGGTCTTTTTTGAACCCTGTTATGGTCTTGGCCTTCACAACATCCTCTGGCAAGGAGTTCCACAGGTTGACTATGCATTGGGGGAAGAAATACTTCCTTTTGTTTGTTTTAAACCTGCTGCCTATTAATTTCATTGGGTGACCCCGAGTTCTTGTGTTCTGAGAAGGAGTAAATAACACTTCCGGATTTACTTTCTCCACACCCCTAGTCACTGTATAGACCTCAATCATATCTCCCCTTAGTCTTCTCTTTTCCAAGCTGAAAAGTCCCTGTCTTATTAATCTCTCCTCATATGGAACCTGTTCCATACCCCTAATCGGTTTTGTTGCCCTTTTCTTGGAGTGGGCGTGTGCGCGGGCTCACGTTAGGCGATTAGCTTGCAAGGTGAATGATTATTTTCTCCCTTCCTGCCTTAACGTCCTGGGCTACAGATTCCAGCGGGAAGCTCAAAGTGACCTATGAGGACCCACCCTTGCAACCTAAGCCTCTTCCAGTAACACCGCATCTGTAACTGGGATTTTCCTGGTCCATGAGGGCAGGATAAGAATCCAGCTCATTTTTGCCAGGGCTAACGAGGAATAATAATTAGCAGTGGGCGGCTCTGCAGCAGGGCGGTGAAGATCTGTCAGGTGGGAGGAGCTTTTATCTCCTATTCACCCAGCCTGGTTTTTGTAACCACTAGATCTTGGGGCAGGGGGACCAGATGGGGGCTGGGATGCTATCCACAGTGCAGCGCCTTGTTTGCCCCATACTGCCTCTTGCGGTGAGGATGCCCGCCGCTGGCAAAGGCTCCGCATGGGTTCTGCCAACACTGCCCGTCAGCAGCAGCAAGCCCTATCTAGGGGCCGTAAAGTGGGCATCAGTTACAGGGGCACTCACCTTTAGGCCCCTTGACGGTTTAAAGGGGACTCAATGCCAATGAGATTCAGAGCCCCTAATATTGACCTCCCCTTTAAATGCAACGAATGACCAGGAAGCAGTGGGGATCCTCGCCTGCTCCCCATTTTTCTCAGTCAGTGGCTAACATCTAAACTAGCAGGGGTCAGCCTTTGAATCGTGACTTCAGTGGGGGTGGGAGAGATCAGGGATGGGGAGGGGTTCTCCCCTCTCTCGCCAGAGCAGATCCGCTCGCTTGCTTCCCCTGAGCTATGCCACAAGCCGCTGGCCGGGTTTCCTGCTGGCGCTGGGCCTGGCCCAAAGGAGCAGGGGGGGGGGATTGCATGTGGCCGAGCCAGCACATTGGGTGTTGGGGCGTGAGAGCAGCTGCAAACTCCCAACCCCAACAGGCAATCGAGTCCCTTAACTCCGGTGCTAATCTGCTGGAGGGTTCATGTGGCCTGGCTGTGAACCAGAGCCGTGAAAGAGGCCTGCGGTTCGCTTGCTGCAGACCCATGTTCACCTCTCCGTCTGGCACTTGGCAGGGTGTTTATCTTGCTGCCTGTTCCTGCAAAATGCAGCTCAGCGTGCGTCATGGGCAAGCTGCAGGGAGGGGGTCGTTAAGTGGCTTTGAGGTTAAGACGCTGGCCGGGGATGGGGAAGATCTGCACTCAGTTCCCAGCTGGGATGCTGCTTCTCTGCAATATCTCTGCTTCATTTCCTCATCAGTACACGTGGGATAATGATCCTGGCTTGCCCGTTTCACTGGTAAGCTCTTCGGGGCAGGCACTGTCTCAGCCTATGTATGTGGCGCGCCCAGTGGTCTCATCTCAGTGAGGGCGTCTGGGCACCAGCAGAACAGAAATAACTTCTTTGAACCTGGTGTCGTCCAAGTCCCTCTTTCCGGGTGTTCTTTTGAACTGTAGCAGCGTGATGTGGAAGTTAGTGGGTTTGCTTTGGCCGGGTCCTTGCCCTTTGTGTTTCTCAGTTCGAATGAACCTGAAATTCAAAGCAAAACTTTGGCCCATCCCTAGCACTTCTCTCATGCTTTTCATCCATAGATCTCCAGGCATGTTACAAAGGCGGTTGCTATCATTATCCTCATTTTACAGGTGGGGAAACTGAGGCATGGGGCGGTGACGTGACTTGCCCAAGGTCACCAAAGAGGCCAGTGGCGGAGCCAGGAATGGAACCCCAGAGTCCTCCGTGCACTATCATTAGGCATCACTGTCTCCCCAAGACTAGGTGTGGGCCCAGCTCTGGCAAACATGGGCTGCATTTCAAGTATTTAAACTGGATTTGGGGTTGGGGTTGTGCAGCTGCAGGGTCTGGATTGAAACGCTTGCGGCCGAGGAGGTTTTGGGAGAACTGTCTTGAGAACTAACAAGCTCTCACCAGTTCTGGGTACCAGACTTCAGGAAAGTCTGGGGACAAACTGGAGAGAGTCCAGAGGAGAGCAACAAAAAATGGTCAGAGGTTTAGAAAACCGGACCTAGGAGGAAAAGTTTAAAAAATCTGGGCAGGTTTAGAGTTGAGAAAAGAAGACTGAGCGGGGACCTGCTAAGCCTTCAAATGTGTTATACAGGGAATAGGGATCGATGGTTCTCCGTGGCCACTGGAGGTAGGACAAGAAGCAATGGGCTTAATCCGCAGCAAGGGAGGTGTAGGTGAGATATTAGGGAAAACTTTCAAACTCTCAGGGTAGCTAAACTCTGGAACAAGCTGCCAAGGGAAGTTGTGGCATCTCCATCACTGGTTTTAAAGAACCAGTTAGACCATCCCTGATGGGTGTTTGTCCAGGTTTACTTGGCCCGGCCTCAGGGCCGGGGGGGCTGGACTCAAGGTCCCATCCGGCCCTATGTTGCTATGATTTTATACTGCCATCCACTTCCCCTGATCTTACAGGGGTGGGGATTAGAGCTGGGTAGGACATTTTACCCGGTGTCTATCGTATGTGGGTCGGGGGAGCTGGAATAACTCCACTGGCGAAAGCATTGTCCGCAAGAGGAGCGGTTACTGGCCTAGGCTATCGGTATAACTGTGCCCGTGAGGCCTGGTTCTCCTTGCTGTGTGGGAATAGCGACCCCAGGATAAGCGTCTTTATAGAATCGGATTCCGGGCTTGTCACTCGGATGGCTCGACTGTCTGCTGAGTCCGTGTGAAATGATGGAAGCCGCCTGAGAGCGCGTTTTGTTCCGACTGGCCCCAGGTTGAATCTCGTGGGGGTTCCCTGGCTGTTACCACCCCGGTTTGGACGTTATCAGCCATATTTTGGCTTTTTTAGACACTCGATGAATTGCACCCGTACGCCAGGTTGGCACTCGTTTCGTGGTAAAGGGCTTGTACGGCTCGACAGGTACCAGCGGAGTTAGGTGCAACCTCTGTGGGGAGGAAAGGCCTTTGATGATGGCTAGGGCTGGTTGGAAAAGGGTGCATGTTTCTGCCAAATAAATACAGAAAGAGAAAGATATCCTTGGTTTTGTTTTTCATCCCTTGTCTTTATCCCCCCCCCCCCCCCCCCCCCCCACTTCCCCACGGAAGCTCTCCCCTAAAAGAGGAGAAATGAAACCTTTTTGTTTAGTTTCCGACCTAGCCAACGTGTTTCATTTTGAGGATACGTTTTGACAACCACAAACGAGTTCAGGTTGGTGGGAAGACACGTTTTGACCTGCTCTCATGGTGGCTGGCTCAGGGGCTGCTGATGGGGCTGGCAGGAGCTGAGGAAGAGGCCTGTCATTTCGGGCACCTAACCTGCCACCTAGTGCCTCTTTTATTTACTTTTATGGCGCCCGCTCCAGTCCCGCGGGAGCCCGTTGCCCAGGTGTGGGGTTGGACGTCCAGCATTAGCGGTCGGTTCTGCAAAACCCTTGGAAGGCAGCTGGTGTTTCTTAAACAGCGTGGGACAGTTTGCGGACTCTGAGCTTAACGAGTCTGGCAGGCTCATTAGGACAGAGGGAGCTGGGGGGGCTCAGGGCATTGGTATCGGGGCGTCGGTGGAGCCTTTTGCCTCTACGCCTGACTGCCCGTTCCTTGAATATCTTCCCATCATCAGCTGGTGGTTTGGTGGCTTACCTGCAATGAGTTTGCTGGGTCTCAGCCCAAGCGCTGGTGGACATTGGAGCTGGGCAGGGCTAAAGCAGTGTTTGTATGACAGGGGAAGTTCTGTGGATCCATGCTCGGTCTCCAGGGTTCCTGGGCCGGGCTGGGGTACCCCGGTGTCGTATTGGCTGCAGGAGGGCCTTCGTCTGCTGATTTGCTTTCTCTCTGGGTTTCCTGCAGCTTCCCGGTGGGACCCCGGAGCAGAAGCCCAGTGCCTGAGCTGCTCCAGATGTGGAGTCCCGCAGCCGGCCGGACCAAGCGGGATCGGCATCTGCCCACCGGTTTCTGTCACGGGATCGGGATGCACCGGCGTCTCGGCGACTGATCAGACGGGGGGGACAGGACCCTTCTCTGTCGCGGTGCCCACCCCCCTCCCACTGCGCCACTGTGTCGGTGAGTTCCCTCCACGCGGGCGGGGCAGGGCTCCTGGGTTCAGAAGGCGGGTGGCCTTCCCCTTCCTCGGCTCTGGCGCGTCTCCCCTGGCTCCTTCTTTAAAGGGAGCTGCAACTGGTCCCTACCCAGGGTTTGTCTTTAACTCCCAGCTGGGCGAGTGTCACTGATGGTCGTGGTGACATCTCAGCTGGGAGCCATGGGGAGGGGGATGGGGCTCAGTTTGCACTGGCGTGTGGGGGTGAAAATCTAGGGGGCATGTCAGAGGGTATGTCCATGTGCAGACGTGCCTGGGGAGGCGTGCAAAGGCGGGGGGTGGAGGTGGTGGCGGGGTGAGAGTGGGTGTGCGAATGGGGGAATCCGTGTGCATGCGTGTGAATCCATGTGCAGGCATGCACTAAGGGTGGGGCGTGCAGGTGGGGCTATGACAAGGTTAGTGCAAGGGAGTGGATGTGCGAGTGTGGGTCCCGGGGCATGGGGGGATGCCTGCAGGATGCATGGGGGGATGCACGGGTGAGTCTGGGTGTAGGTCTGCGTGCCTGTGTGAGCGGGGGGTGCACATGTGAGAGGATGCATTCACGTGTGCAGTTGCACATGCGTGTGGCTCAGGGGGGCTGCGTGCAAGGGGGCATGCGCAGGCCTGGCGCTGTTGTCAGGGAGTGCGGGGGGCTGTCTCGCTGCAGGCCCCGCTGGCGTTGGGAACAGACAGCAGGGAACACGGCCCCGGTGTAAATCTACTGGCGCTAGTCAATAGGCCGGTGACGCAGGCGTCCCCTGCGTGGGGAGGGCTGCTTCTCCGCCGGCCTCGGCCCTGCGCCCCTATTGTTCCCTGCAGAAATCCGATTCCTCCTTTCAGACAAAGCCCCAAAAGGGGGACATGGGGGGAGGGGGTCAGGCCCTCCCTCTTTCTGCTTGTGTTTCCTCCCCCTCCTTCCCCCACCGCTTGGGACACCAAGCTCCCCGGCCTCCATGCCATCTCCTAGACAACCGGGGTGGGGGGGCTTTTGTTTCCATAGTGATAAATGTGAGAGAATCCAGCATCTGGGACAAAAGACTCCCCCCGTCCCCCCCAGCCCATCTCCCCTCCCCAAAGCAGAGGAGCCTTGGGAGAGGCCAAAAGACATTTTGGGTTTTATTTGACTGAAATGGCATTTCCTTGGTAACTCGTCTCTCTGTGCCCTGCTGCCCTGAGCCCGGTTTCTCTCTTACCCACCGCCGCAGGAAAACTGGGTTCGTGGGGGTGGGGGAAGCTGTGGTAGGGTATCGCCTACCCCAGAATTGAAGGAGGATTTTTGTGGGGGACGAAGTTGGGGTCTGAATAGTGGGGGGCAGGGCTGGGGGGTCTGATTACTGCTTACCCTGAATGGGGGAGAGGTCTGGGGTTGGATTTAGGGTCTGAAATCTGCCATGACACCCTCTCCCTGCTCGAATCAAGCAACTGCCCTTGGTGTGCAGGGTTTCAATCCAGCGATGCTCACTCACGTGGGGCAAGCAAGCCTGTCAGCCGCCGGGGGGCTCTCTGGGGGCCCGAGAGCTCGTCTCTGGGGAGGATTTGTGAGGAATAATTTGACTGGATTTTGCAACAACTTCGGGCCGGGCAGTTCTTTATCACCTTGAATGGCTCCAGGTCCTGACTCAGACACCCTCTTGCAGTGGGGCTGTCCTCTCCCATCCGTGCCACCCCCCCCACACACACATCTTCCCGGGTGGAGATCCCCTCGCTGTTTCTGCCTCCCCTCCTCAAAACCACCCTCTATGCCCCATTAAACCTCAAGGATACGAACACGGACAAGCCAAGCTGGGGGTCCCCCACCCCACGTTTCCACCCTTCTTGCTCCCGTGTACGTTGAGGCCGCTTGGCTGGCTGATTTCCCCACCATCGCCACCCCTTTGGCCTTAAACTCAGGCCTGGGCCGGGATCTTACATAAACTGGAAATCCAGGAGTAGCAGAGAACTTCTGCTAACACCTGGTCTTGTTCCTTCTGCAGGCTGATAGCGTTCTGTCATGCCTTTGCATGCAGATCCAAATCCGCATGAGCCAGGACTCCTGGGTTCGGGGCTCAGCTTGTGGGGAGGAGAGAGTGGGACAGAAAGGGTGTAAGCAGGGAACAGGACCTCGGGACTCGTCGGTTGCATGCCTGGCTCCGAGAGCAGAGTTTGGTCTGGAGCAGGGGTACACCGAGGTCTTCCAGAGGGTGCATCAACTTCTCTAGATATTTGCTGAGTTTTAAAACAAGCGACATTAAAAAGCAGTAGCAACATCAGTACAAACTAAAATGTCATACAGACAATGACTCGTTTAGACTGCTCTATGTGCTATGCATTGAAATGTAAGTACAGGCTTTATATCCCAATTGATTTACGTGCTAATTAGATGGTAAAAAGGAGAAAGTCAGCAATTGTTCAGTCACAGTGAGCTGTGACACTTCTGTCATTTTAGGGCTGATTTTGTAAGCAAGTCGTTTTTAAGTGAGGTGAAACCTGGGGGTACACAAGACCAATCAGACTCCTGAAAGGGGGACAGTCGTCTGGAAAGGTTGAGAGCCACTGGCCTAGAGTTCAGAACAGGGTAAGTGGTAGATAATCCTGGTCTCCAACAGCCAGGAATGGAACCCCGGAGTCCTGGCTCTTGGGGTCCTGGCTCTGGCCTAGGCACCTCACTCCTGTCGATTTTGCTTTTGGAAATTCCTATCTGCATCTTTTGGCACCTAAATACCTTTAAAACTCTGGCCCTAAACATCTTGGCCATAGTCACCTAGGGAGTTAGCCTGGGACATGGGGAACCACCCTCCTTCTCCAGGAAGGAGGCACTGGTTTACCTAGATCAGTTTGGAGTCACTCCTTAGCTGAGACCAGTGTGGCTTCCCCATGCAGTGCAACACAGCTGGAGTAGCTGGGATCTGACCTACACGCAGAGTTTAGATTTGAGTTTTGGAGGAGACCTCAGGGACTGAAACTCAAGGCGGCAATCGCACCCCCAAAGGAGTAAGTAACCCCGCTGTGCCAGGGAGAACACCCCCCACTACATCAGATGTTGGTTCCCCAGGTCGGGTGGGGTGGATCTGTTTCTTTGCCAGCACCTTATGACATGTCAAGCCACCCTTCTAACTAACTTGGGAAGAGCTTTGAGATCCTCAGGCAGCGGGAGCTGTAAGCGCGAAGGGCCATTGCCTCTGCAGCCTGGTGCTCTGATGACGCCGTGGTAACTTTTTTCACACCCCTCTCGGTGCTCATCAAACCGTCTGTGGGTGCAAGGTCAGATTACCTCGTCAGGGTGGGTGGGGGAGGTTTCCGCAGCATGTGGTGAAAGTCACAGTGCTGATTTGCCCTCCCTTCCTAGCTGCAGGGGGGAGCGTGGTCTGCGACACCCCGCCCTCCTGAAGAACGAGGGGTGTGCGGGTGTTTGGTGCAAGCAGCTGGCTGGATCATGTGATCCAGACCTGGAGGCCTGGCATCGTAACTGTGTAATTAAAAAGCAGTCGAGAGTCATGCAAGCACATTCACTGCACTGCACAGGCAGCTTGGGGTGGGGTCCCCGCAGCTTTCCACTTCCCCTTCCCCCGTGGCCAGGACTTCGTCACCCCCTTCACCTCAGCTGCGTGACTCCCCCACACTGGCTTTGCCTGTGCTCCCCACCCTTTTAGCAGGCTAACATGGCACTCACTGTGGATGGAAGGGTTGTGACTAGCCCCCCCTGGTGTTAGGTCCTAGTCTCAGCCATAGGGGACGGAGACGGTTCCTTTAGTGATAATCCCTACCTTTCATAGAGCACTTTTCATCAGTAGCTCGCCACGTGCTCTAACAAAGGAGGTGTCATTAGCTCTGTTCTTACAGCTGGGGAAACTGAGGCACGGGGCAAGGAAGGGCCATGTCCAAGGTCACCCAGCAGGCCCGTGGCAGAGCCGGGAATAGAAACAAGATCTCCGGAGTCCTAGCCCAGTGCTCTGTCCACCAATCTGCCTCTTAAAGGACCCGGAAGCCTCTCTGCAAAGGTCCATCTTTGGCCTATTCCCTAGGCAGAGGGGTAGCACCCACCCTTAGGGGGTCCATTCTCTTTTGCAGTGTTCACCGTTATTCCTGGGAGGGGGCTCCTGGATGCACACACAGTTCCCACTGGGCTAGTATTATCCAGGGCATGTCGCAAGACCCTTTTCTCCAAAGTGCAGTTGTAGTGGTGGGAGAAATGATGTGAAATTGACGCGGGCGGTGGGGTTTGTTGGCTCTGTTCAGGAAGGTTCCAGGCCTGAAAAGCTCAGTTAGCAAATCAAAGGCCGTTTTTCTTTTCTAGTAGGTTTGGAGGCAGCGTAACCGATTGGCTAGTGCGCCAGGAGACCTGGCGTGCTGGTCCCGGCTCTGGAGAGATCGCTGGCTCGGTTTCCCTCGCTTGCGCCCTTTGTCTTGGCTGTTCAGAGGGCGAGATCTTCAGGGCAAGGATCGTATTGCGCTATGTCTCTGCGCAGTGCCTGGCTCGGTGGGGCCTCGTGACAGAGCTGGAATTCAGCCCCACCGTCACGGCAACTCCAGTGCGTTACTCTAGAGTGGACCTCATTAAGCAGAGCTGTGCCTACTTGATGGATTGGGGTGATCAGGGGAGAGCAAAGAGACTAATTAGCCCCTGAGGCAGAGGGTAGAAAAGACCCAGAAGGAAGCGCGTAGGAGCGAGAGAGGGAAGATACCTTCCCTCTGGCCACGGGAGCTAAGGGGTGTACGTCACCGTAGCTACGGGCTGCACGAGGCTGTAAAGGCGACGGGGAGAAGGCTGTGAAACAAACCACGTGCGGGGCTTACCACAAGAAGGTCCCCGAGCTGTTTGTAACTTGGAAAGAGACAGGGGCAGGACCCCACCCTCTTAATTGGCCTGACGAGGAGCACCTGGACGGGAACGCTCAGCCCAGGTTCATTTTATGGGCCAGCCGCCCAGTTATCGGCCTCAGTCGCAGCCGGGGCCTCTAGGTGCTTCTGTAACACAACTCATTCTTTTTACACCCTCCTAGCATCCTTGTCCTGCTCTAGCGCCTTCCAGCCGAAGCTTGCAGAGTGCTTTGCAAACGTGTGCTGGAGTGTCCTGTGATGAGGAGGCTCCCAGCTCCCCTAATGATTGACCCACCCTCCTCTGAAGGGCTACAGACACCATCAGAAAGCAAGCAGGCAGGAATCAAACGCCCGAGAGGCTCCGTAAATGGGCTAGGAACTCGGGGGGAGGAAATACTGAAAGAGGAGACAAAATGTGTTGTATTCTCTTTTGGCTCTGTGTGTTCTCTCGGCAGATTGTAGCCTCTCTGGGGAAGAGAGACCCCTGTCTCTGTCTGTGTTCTCAGTGCCTAGCACAATTTGGGAGCTATATAACTTTTTCCCCCAAAAGCAATTTACTGCTCCCCAATCCAGTCTAGTACTGGGGTGTGTGTGTGTGTGTGTGTGTGTGTGTGTGTAATAATAATTACATTAGCCCGTGTGGATATAAATAACTTTAATTGGAATCATTGGGTTGCTAACGTTTTCGATGGTCTGGCAGCAGTACGTACAGGAGCAGCAGGGTGGTTGCTATCAAACTGGGGGTTGATTTCTGCCCGTTTTCCTTCCTTACAGCTGGTGGTTCATTTCCCAGCCTGCCAGTCACTGGTTTGTCCTGGTGGTTTCTCCTGCCCAAACCCCTCGTGTCAACTGTGGGCAACGTTTTCAAAAGTGGCAGCTGATTTGGGGGGCGTTTTTCTGAAGCAGCTGGGGTGTGATTTTTTCAGAGGGGCTGAGCCCTACTTGAGTTTGGCTGGCAACCTACAACTGGTTCCAGTCTGCCCTGATACCATTTGTTAGGACCCGTTCCTTATGTTATCCACTGAATGGGCCATCCTGCGTCTAAAAATGGTGCTTAAATTCCTTTGTTTAGTTACTGTTAAATCCTCAGATTGTTAGTTCAGAAAGAATTCTTTTTAAATCTAGGGCCAGATTCCCAGCTGCTGTGAATGGATTTCACTGGAGTGAGACCAGTGAATGATCTAGCAGCTAGCTCACTGACTGATCTCACTCCAGTGAAATCAATTGATCTCAGATTCTAGCCTCTAATTGTTATTCTCCTACACTCCCGATGCTGCACTCCGCTTGGAAGGGCGGCATGCTAGTTTGGTCACTTTCATTCGTAACAGCCATTCTGCTGTGTTAATTCCTGGATGTGCTTTTCAGACATTTTAACTTGCACCACCAGATTTGAACTCCAGATCTTTCCCCCGTAGAGATGAGTAGCCTATCGCTATGCTACCAGGCCAATAGCACAGAGAGCCTTTATTAGAGTTTATTCTATATTAATATGGTTTTGTTACACCCCTCCCTTCCCCTCCTCTTCCCCCCACACTTTAAAAAAATATATCTGAATTTGATGCCTAACCCATTTCATCCCCGTTTTCTCCAGCCTGGGCTAGCTCTGAATCTCAAGGCATTTCGCAGACTCTGATAATGGAAGCGTCATCTCAGCCCCGTGAAGCTGATCTGTGTAATTTCTCCCCCATCTCCTCCCATTTTACACATGAGGAAACGGAGGCCACGGTGGTGACGCGGCCTGTCCAGCTTCTCACACACAGTCAGTGGCAGAGCCCAGGTCTTCTGATTCCCACGCCTCTGTGCTTTGACCACTAGACCACACTCCCCTTCCCAAGGCAGGAACAGACCCCACAAGTCCTGGTTCTCAAAAGGACTTGAAAGTGAATCTAACTCATTTCTACCCCTTTTAAGGCTTCTTCCCACTGCAAGGGTGGGCCAGGGGTTTGGGTTCTCCTCTGCGATTTGGGAGACCTGCGTGTAGTTCCCTGCACTGCCACAGACTCAGTTGAGCCAGTCCCTTCGCCTTTCTGTGCTGCAGTTCCCTGGCCGTGAGCTTTTGGGGGCGGGATCGTGTTTCTGGTCCATGGCTGCGGTTACTAGGCACTACCACAACATGAAGAATAGTGGTACTAGGGTTGAACAGCCTACAAATAAGGGCCCAAACTGCATTTCCCCTGCGCCATTCCCAGTGACTTAAATGTGAATTCCACGCTCTGGACCTCTTGCGGGATCGGGCCCAGGAGATTTTCCCATGGTTCTTTGCAGAAGCCAAAACTCCGGCATTGACTTTCTGGATCTGAGGTTCCGTGTCTGTGCCGTGTCTTGTTCTAACAGCGCCTTGCCGCTTTGAGATGGGTCTGAAGCGCTGCCCTTGTTGAGTACATTATTTGTAGGTTGGTCCCTGCCCTGGGCGCTCTCCTGGCAATTAAAATAACAATCAGGATATTAATTAAAACATAAATTACACGAAACCAGTGCGTGAAAAAGCTCCTCTTTCAGTGTCGTTTAAAAAGGGAGCAGAGAGCTCAGAGTTCGAGCTGATGCTAAAAGAGAAAATGCCCTGAGAGAAATAGCCCGAACAAGCGTAACATGTTAATGCCAGTTATTGCTAGGAGTTAGTAGGATCAGAGCCTGATTCTCATTTTCACTCCCTTTGAGGCCCCTTTGCCCTGCCAAAATAGTGTAAAGGGGCCTTAGTGGAAGGGAGAATCAGACCCTGCCATAGTTTTCTTGACAATAACAGATTATTTTAGCTGCTAAGATTGCGTTATCAATGATTACCTGTATTACGGAGCACCCAGAGCCGCACTGCGCCAGGCGCTGCACTGACACATAGTGAGAGCTAGATGGGGGAGACCGAGTGATTTGACCAGGGTCACACTGGGACCAGTGAGAGAGCTGGGGATAGAACCCAACTCTCCTAGGTCCCAACCCAGTGACTTAAAAATGCCTCTTGATAAGGGCATGCTTTTCTACTGAGGCTAATGTCGGGGGGAAGATGGGCGGAGGTGGACGTGGTGTGGCGCGGGGGAAAGGTTTTTAACAAGGGCCTTTCGCTTCGTTCCCCGGGGCTGGGCGAAGGATTGGTGGGATTGAGCCATTTTGTTTCCCATCTATAAACAAAAGCTGCTTTCTCCTAACTAAGAACAGGGGTCGGAGGAAAACAAACAGCCAGGAGTCGCTCGCTTTGTTGCTGGAAATGTCGTGGGTCCACTTGGAAGGCTTCGATTTTTATCGGGAAACGTCCATTTCGCTGCACGCGCGCAAACCGGGGGGAAAATGTTTCCACTGAGAATCATGGGAGTTCACAAGGCGGCAGAGTTAGACCCTTGCTGTTTGAGAATCATGAGCGCTTGAGTGAAGGCTGCTTAACGTTGTATTTTTTGACAGGAACATTGAAATGGATGAAAAAAAAAAAAAAAAAAAAAAGCTTAAAACTATCGAGATGTCAGAATTACACATAGAAATCGGCTTCTGCCAAGCCGCTGGCAGCGCAGCTCAGGGAATTTGGAAGCTGTGCTGGAAGATCTTGTTGGCGAGTGGTATTTCCTGCCTCTCCCTGCAATCTCCCAGCCAGTGCAAGAGCAGCCTTCTCTGCAGCGCCTGCTGTTCGTAGTGGCCGTCTCCCCATTCTCTCTCCACCTTGCTGGTCTCTCTCACGGGTCCCGGATGGCTCAGGCTGCTGGACTCGGACAGACCTTGGGGCTCTCGGTGGCTCGGCGCTCGGTGTTTTTAGGGAGGGTGGAGTTAATCTGAGACCCAGTGGGGATCCCCTCCGGGAGTCTAATTCTCTCCCGCCCTTCCCCAGCAGGGCGTCATTTTCTTCTGAGACGAGCCCCGCCAGCTGATCAAAATAGAGTCCCTCAAGGTGACAGTCGACTTCCTGAAGGTGCCCCTTGGCCTGAAGAAGCCCGCGCTGAAGGAGGCAGCGGCCGCTTTGGCTGCTGTCCCCGTCGGGAGACCCAAGTCCGTCAACGTGGAGCGCTACAAGGCCCGGCGCTCCGACAACATGGACAACGAGTCGCAGTACTCGGGGTACTCCTACAAGTCGGGGCACTCGCGCAGCTCCCGCAAGCACAGGTGAGAGGGGGATGGGGGGGAGCCCTGCACCTGGGCCTGTGCAGTGGGGGGAGGGATGAGGGGCTGACCTGGCTTGGGGGGAGGGCAGCTAAGCTGGTTCAGGGGGGCTAACCGAGATCTGCCCTCAGGCGTGGGGAGGGGCCTCACCCCATGTGCATCTTCAGGAGAGCCCATGGCGGGGGCTCCCCCCGACCCTGCATCCGTCCTGGAGGGGGGCAGGGGAGAATGCCCTACTCCCTGTGAGCAACCTCCCCATGCTCACACATCTGCCCTTGGGGAGGAGGAAACTGCCCACCCCCGACTCTATGGGAGAGGGGTGATGCCCCCAGACTGTATCTGCTCTTGGGGAGGTGGGGGGGTGTCAGGAAGGCCTTGTGGCCTTGAAAGAGCCGGGACCTGGCTCCCCCTATGTCTGTCCTAGTGGGGAAACCCTCCCCCCGCTGTCTATCTTCAGGGTGGTGCATGGAGGAAAGGGAGACTCCCTTGTGTGGGGTCTGGGAGGGACGTACCCCATTCCCCCTCTCGGCCCACTCCCAGCCGCATGCGCCCATCAGCCCCTGCGCTTCCCCCTCTGACCCCCGGCGTCTCTCTCTCCCTTCCAGAGACCGGCGGGACCGGCACCGCTCCAAAAGCCGGGACGGGAGCCGGGGGGACAAGTCGGTGACCATCCAGGCCCCGGGGGAGCCCCTGCTGGATAACGAGTCGACCAGAGGAGATGAGAGGGTGAGTGGGGAGCGCCAGGCTGAGGGGGTGGGGCTAGCAGGTTGCTCTGGGGGTGGGAAAGGAGATGTATAGGGCATCAAGGGATGGAGGTGGGGTCTGTGTTTTGCCCCTCCCTCGTCTCTGGGGTGGAGGTGATGGGGGGGAGAGGGAGGAGCCTTGGGGACTACATGCCCATCGCCTCCCCGTCGCCAAAGAAACCGAGGTGGAGGCTTTGAAGCCACATTGCTTCCTTCACGCTGTGGGAAAATGAGGGGGGGGGAGGACCCCTTCCGGTGTGGCTGAGCGAGACTCCCCTCTCCCAGACAGTGGCCTGGGCGACTGGGCTCACCTCACCCCCTAAAACACTCTGGCCCTGATTCTCAGTTCCTCCAGCCCCATACGCAGGGCGGTGGTGAATGGAAGCAGGATGGCTTCAAACCCTCCCCGCTCCCAGCCCACACCTTGACACTCCCCATATCGTGGGGCTGCACTCAGGGCCCCTGGGATGAGTTAGAGCAGCCTCAGGGCTGCTCTGGATTCACACTTCGGGCTTGGGGCAGCAGAGAATACCCAGAGTGCAGCATGCTTCAGCCACGGTCCCGATCCACCCCCTATGCAAGGGGCTGGGAGCCAGGGCCCTTATCCCAGCTCCACACCAGCCAGGGAGCCCCCTTGCGCACGGGGAGGCGGGATCTTGGGGAGCTGTTTTCACCCACTTTAGGACCCTTCAGCCAGTTAGAGGGGCCTGGATGTGACTGAGAACCAGGCTCTTTACCCGGCGACCCTGAATTAGGGGTGAAGCGAGACACCCCCAGTTTCTAGAGCGTTTCCTGGGTCCCCTCCCCTCTGCAGGGTGGGGGCTCTCGGCAGTGCCTGTGGCAGCTGACGGTGGAAGTGGCCGGGCGGGGGGGTGGGAAAGCACCGCTGGGACCGGCTCCCGTTCTTTGCTCAGCGCTGCCTGGGCAGTGCCAAGCTTCAGTAGCCCCAGGCTGGGTCCTGGGGGGATGGAGAGCAGTGGAGGCTCCTGCAGTGGGTCCCCACCAGCTCTGTGCACTGAGGGTCTCAGGCTGGACGTCGAAGGGGCGCGGGGAGCGTGTCCCCTCTGCAGGGCTCCCTCTGCAGCTCCCTGGTGGGGCGCTCTGGAGGGCGCGTGGCATCATGAGAGCAGCGGTGCAGCTCCTGTGTTTCCCAGGACCCCGGCAGGGTCCCCGCACCACGCAGCCAGGCGCAGCAGCCTCTGGTACGCAGGGACTCGCGTTTCCCAGCAGCTCTGCTCCGGTTGTGCCTTAGGGGCTCAAACCGGCTTTGACGGCCACAGCTTAGCCTGCCTGGCCCCAGGTGCTGGGAGGGCAGCTCGGGAAACCCATCTCCTCTAACTACGGACCATGCATAGACAAACAATTTCCACCATGCAGTCCCCTTGCCAGTCCCTCCCCTCTCCAGCTGGCTCTGAACTCCGGCTCCTTGGCCTGTTGTCTCCTCTAGGAACAGGGCCACGCCTGGCCAAAGCAGACGTGCGATAACCACTGCCCGTCCGGACCAGCCCACGGCTGGCTTTGAACCGGGGTCCTGGCGGTGAAAGCCTACAGCTCCTATTCGCCATCCCCTGAGCCAGCCCGTGGAAGGGCCTGAGGGTTATTGTGTAGGGGTGAAAATTCCAGGGCGATCCTGGATTGGGATGAGAGAAGAATCTGCTCCCCCAGCGTTTGAACAGAATAACCCAACGGCAGTTACAGTTAGTGGTATTGTCGTTGCACCTAGGGAGTCCCCGTCGTGCAAGGTGCTGTACAAACACATCACGAAGAGACAGGGTCTCCCAAGTCCCAGGTTAGCACCTGAGCCACTGGAAGTTACCGACCTGACCAACCCCGGGATGCAATCCTCCGGCTGTGCTATGCAGCAGCTCAGAGGAGAGGAAGTCCTCCAATTGCTGTAGATTTACGTCCCCTGTTTTAATCCTCCCTCTGCCAAGCTAGACAGACGGAGCTCTTTTAATCTGTCCGTGTTAGAACGTCAGTCCCGCACACCCCCTGTGTTTGTCGTTGCGCTTTTGCCTGTTTTCAAATTTGTCAACGCCTGTCAGAACTCTGTATTCTCTGTGTGGACTCTCCTTACTCTTCATAGCAGGGGTGGGTTTTTCAGTGAAAGTTGTGTCGTTTGGGCCGGGGTCTGAACTAAAATGGAAAGAGCTACCCTCATAGCAGACTCCGGGCTTGTCTGCACTAGAAGGGGTTTGCCAATATAGCTTATACACAAATGAAATAAGCCAGACCAGGAAAAGGCCTTTTATGCTCATATAACTGCAGGTCCAGTCGTGCTTATTCTGTCTTAGTTTGGATAGTTAAAAAAAATCACACACTGAAGCGACGTTGCTGTGCTGGTATGTGCTTGAAGGAGGATTGGGAGAAGTTAATTGACATTTTTTGTTATTTTGGTGACTAATATCAATGTTTATTTTTAAGCATTTATTTTTTATTTTTATGGATTTACATTTTCTCGGTTGTGGGAAGTGACGGGGCGGCGGTCAGACAATTATTTAGTGACCGTAGACGCTGAGATTCCAAAAGTTAAAGCTTTAGCGCCATTAAAACACAAATTGTCAATATCACCTGTGAAAATACAAACAGTAAATATCCTTCAATCAAACTCTATTCTGTTCACAAAACGCATTTTTCTTACTTTGTCCATCTGTCAATTTCAATGATTCTCTATGGAAATATTTTTCCTCAGTTTGTGTGTCCAGTGAAATTGACGTTTACCCTTCCGAGCCTAGTTTTAAGGGTAGACGAGGCCTTACTGGGTCCCCAGGAGGGAGTGACACTGACAGAACTATCTCAGGATAGCTCATAAACCTTTCTCTAAGGTTGTGAAATACAGACATCTGCCAGCACAGCTCTGTCGGCGATCCCTGACCCACTTCTGGCAGAAGCCCCTAGTGTACATAAAGTTCTGCTGGCCACATTTGTTACTGGGGTAGCTCATTATGCTCGTGGGTGGAGGGGGGGAGGGTGATAAGCTATTCCAGCAAAAGTGCAGCTTTTCTGGTAGAAGCTGTGTTCACATTCGGAGCGCTTTGCTGGTATTGTGTAGTGGGATTCCTATACTGGTCAAGTGCTCTGTAATAGGGTGGCTTGCTCTTAGGGGAGGTGTTAGCCACGTAAAAGTCCACGTGCAGTTCTTAAGGGGCCCACAAGGGGCGGGGGGAGAGTCTGATCCAGGGGGCTGGAGGGGGGGGGGGGGGCGGGGGGGGGGGGGGGGGCGGGGCTGGCGGAGTCTGTTCCCACAGGCCAGCCCCCGTGCGTAACCCTTTCTTCCCCGCCCCTCTCTAGGACGACAACTGGGGCGAGACCACCACGGTGGTGACGGGCACCTCGGAGCACAGCATCTCGCACGATGACCTCACGCGCATCACCAAGGACATGGAGGACAGCGCCCGCCTGGACTGCTCCCGCCACGTGGGCGTCTCGCTGGGCGGGGCCCTGGCGCTGCTCTCCTTCCTCACCCCGCTGGCCTTCCTGCTGCTGCCCCAGCTGCTGTGGCGGGAGGAGCTGGAGCCCTGCGGCACGCCCTGCGAGGGGCTCTTCATCTCCGTGGCCTTCAAACTCCTCATCCTCCTGCTGGGCAGCTGGGCCCTCTTCTTCCGCCGCCCCAAGGCCTTCTTCCCCCGCGTCTTCGTCTTCCGGGCCCTGCTCATGGTGCTCGTCTTCCTCCTCGTCGTCTCCTACTGGCTCTTCTACGGCGTGCGCATCCTGGACTCGCGCGACCGCAACTACCAGGGCGTGGTGCAGTACGCCGTCTCCCTGGTGGACGCGCTGCTCTTCGTCCACTACCTGGCCGTGGTGCTGCTGGAGCTGCGCCAACTCCAGCCCCAGTTCACGCTCAAGGTGGTGCGCTCCACCGACGGGGCCAGCCACTTCTACAACGTGGGCCACCTCAGGTGAGGGGCGGGGCGGCTGGGGGGGCGGGAGGGCATCGCTGGGGGAATTAGTGTGTGTGTGTGTGTGTGTGTGTGTGTGTGTGTGTGACTGCCCCCTGCTGGGGGAGAAGGGGCGTGTGTGTGTGTGAGAGAGAGAGAGAGAGACTGCCCCCTGCTGGGGGGAAAGGGGAGTGTGTGTGTGAGTGTGCACCATTTATCCCAGGGATGGGAAAATTGTAGATGAGTGTGTTTGTGTGTCCCACCAACTGCTGCTGGGTG